ATACATGTTTTGATGCTGAAGAACTCAATTTTAAAAGCACTCACAGGACTTCCTGGGTATTCCAGTGTTCAGGCTGCTTTTAGAAAAGGCAGAGGAAGTAGAGATCAAATTGCCAACATCTGCTGGATCATCAAAAAAGAGAGTTCCAGAAAAACATCTATTTCTGCTTTATTGACTATGCCAAAGCCTTTGGCTGTGTGGATCACAATAAACTGTGTATAAGTCTGAAAGAGATGGGAATACCAGACCACCTGACCTGCCTCTTGAGAAACCTGTACGCAGGTCAGGAAGCAACAGCTAGACCTGGACATGGACCAACAGACTGCTTCCAAATAGGAAAAGGAGTATGTCAGGGCTGTATATTGTCACCCTGCATATTTAACTTATATGCAGAGTGCATCATGAGAAACGCTGGGCTGGAGGAAGCACAAGCTGAAATCAAGATTGCGGGGAGAAATATCAATAACCTCAGATATGCAGATGACACCACCCTTATGGCGGAAAGTGAAGAGGAACTAAAGAGCCGCTTGATGAAAGTGAAAGAGGAGAGTGAAAAAGTTGGCTTAAAGCTCAACACTCAGAGAACTAAGATCATGACATCTGGTCCCATCACTTCATGGCAAATAGATGGGGAAACAGTGGCTGACATTATTTTTCTGGGCTCCAAAATTACTGCAGATGGGTGACTGCAGCCATGAAATTAAAAGACGCTTACTCCTTGGAAGGAAAGTTATGACCACCCTAGACAGCATATTAAAAAACAGAGACATTACTTTGCTAACAAAGGTCCATCTAGTCAAGGCTATGGTTTTTCCAGTGGTCATGTATGGATGTGAGAGTTGGACTGTGAAGAAAGCTGAGCACTGAAGAATTGATGCTTTTGAAAAAGTTGTGGTGTTGGAGAAGATTCTTGAGAGTCCCTTGGACTGCAAGGAGATCCAACCAGTCCATCCTAAAGGAAATCAGTCCCGAGTGTTCATTGGAAGGACTAATGTTGAAGCTGAAACTCCAATACTTTGGCCACCTGATGAGAAGAACTGACTCATTTGAAAAGACCCTGATGCTGGGAAAGATTGGGGGCAGGAGGGGAAGGGGACAACAGGGGATGAGATGGTTGGATGGCATTGCCGATTCGATGGACATGGGTTTGGGTGAACTCCGGGAGTTGGTGATGGACAGGGAGGCCTGGCGTGCTGCGGTTCATGGGGTCGCAAAGAGTCGACTGAGCGACTGAACTGAACTGATGGAATCCTAGTGGCTAAGATTCCATGCTCCCAATGCATGGGGCCCAGGTTCAATCCCTGGTCAAGGGACTAGATCCCACATGCTGAAACTAACAACTGGCACAGCCAAACAAACAAATAATTGTTTTAATTAAAAAAAATATAACAGTATGGAGTCTTAAAAGTCCTTACTATATGCATCATCAGGATTTAAAGCAGGAATTCACCATGTGCCAGGTGACAGTAACAGATCCTAATATTAACGAATTCCCTGGTTTGTAAAATTTACCGGTTTATAAACTTCTATTCATATCTCTAAGCAAAAACCATTTCAGAGTTTTCTCACAGGCAAAATAATACCTCCCTGTATGCATGTTGTGTCCCTCAGTTGTGTCTGACTCTCTGCCACCCCATGGGCTGCAGCCCACCAGGCCCATGCGTCCAAGAGATCGTCCAGGCAAGAATACTGGAGTGGGTTGCCACTTCCTCCTCCGGGGGATCTTCCCAACCCAGGGATCGAACCTGTGTCTGCCCCATGGGCAGGCGGATTCTTCACCACTGAGTCGCCCGGGAAGCCCAAATAATACCTACACACAGGATTAAAATTTTAATATAAAATGACTTAAAAATTTTAAAAATATCTAAGCTTGTTATTCAAAGTGTGTTGTTTTTTTTTAAAAAAGCATCTGAAGCAACCACTTGTTTTGGTTTTATAATGTGTTAGACACGTTACTTAGATTCCTAAGCTCAGCGGTCTCTGAGTCTCTGTGACCCCATGGACTGTGTAGCCCACTAGGCTCCTCTGTTCATGGGATTCTCCAGGCAAGAATACTGGAGTGGGTTGCCATTTCTTTCTCCATGTTACTTCCAAACTAGATAATAATTCTGCACACCCGTCACTTAAAGGGAACCCGGGTATGCAGAATGAAAAAGTTAGCATCTACACTGGGGGCTCCCCTCCACCCTCCCGAGTCCAAATCTGACCATGTTCCCACAAGTCCGTTAGATACCCGCTTGTCCCCACCAGTAAGCAGGCCCCCAGGCCTCCTCTCTCTCCTTCCACCACCTGTTCTCAAGGCTTGTGCTCCGAACAGAACTCGGATCGTCTTGTTTTCAGACCCTTACATATGTTCCTCAAATTCAGAGCAAGCTTCTGAACACATGGAAAGATGTCCCACCTCACTCTCGTGGACAGAAATGCCTATTTCCAACAATAAAAGCATCTGTCACCTGTCCCATCCACAAAGGCAGCAAAAACAAACTTCAGGAGGCACGTACTTTCTGACTCAAAACCTCCCAGGCAAGGAATGGACCACGATGAGTTACACACACGCGGACGTGGGTACAAAGGAATCACAGCACAACACTGTCTGCTACACGAACACTCCGGAAGCACCAGAAACATCCACGCAGAGAGGATCTGTTAACGCACACGGTGGACCATCCAGACCTCGGAGCATCATGGGGTCCTCAGGACAAGTCATGAGTCAGACCTCAGGGCGCTCAACCTGGAACAAACCCCACTTTCACGTGTACACACACAAGCACCTACCTGTTTCTAAAAGAAAATCTAAGCGCATAGTACTGACACAGCCACTCTCCAGAGAGGCAAGATGAAGGGATGGAGGGGGGTGGGAGAAAAGCTGATGGATTCCACGCAACTCCCTTTTGAAAGTGAACATTGGGACTTGCCTGGTGGTCCAGTGGCTAAGAATCTGTGCTCTGCATGCAGGGCCGCGGGATTCCATACCCAGTCAGGGAACTAGATCCCAGGTGCCACAACTAAGACCCGGCACACCCAGATAAATAAAAATAAATACTTAACGACAAGAAAACCGAAATGTTTTCCCACGTCCACCTGTCACTCTCTGTACTGATAAATGCAGAATGAAAAAAATCACACTTGACAACAACGACAACAACAAATCACACTTGGAGAAAACTGTAGCTAGCTGGTATTCCAGTAGCTGAAGAGTGGTTGTTCTGACCACTGCACAGTGAGCAAACCCTTTGGGGGCACTGTGTAGAACCCTTTGGGGTCACTGCAACTGACCGCTCCTGGGGGACCAAACCTGCAGCTGACTCCTGGGAACACACCACACTGAACCCCAAAAGCTTCTCCTCTTTAGAAGTGCACAGGTCGATGAGGTGACCCCAAAGAAACGATACACCACGACAGCATCTCTCATGTCCCCTCCACCCACTAAGGGCTCGAAAACAGCCACACCGGGACTCTAGTTTTCTGATTCACGAGGACAATTGCCTACTCCACGGAGCAATGAGGCTGCTCCATTAATGTGGCAACCAACAAAACTTTTTCCTTCTTCCCTTTCTGAACCTCCTCCTTGGATGCTATTTTGGTTCAAAAAAAAAAAAAAACCTTTGGGATATGTCTTCAAGTCTGTACTAAAACCTGAAGTGCATAGGGAGGTCAATTTACTTTTTAAAATTTTCAATCTTGGAAAAGACTGGACTGATTCTGCAAAAAAAAAAAAAAAAAAAAAGGCAGGTCAACACTGTACTGTGAATGAGCCAACTGTGAAATACCAAGTTGAGGATTATTTCTCTATATAAAAGCAGTTGCAGAAACTTCTTGGCCATGCAGTGATTAAGACTCTGGCACCATCACTCTGGGGCCCTGACTTTGATCTCTGGTCAGGGAACTAAGATCTTGCAAGAATTCCATGGAATACTCCAGGCAAGAATACTGGAGTGGGGAGCCTTTTCCCTTCTCCAGGGGATCTTCCCAACCCAGGGATCGAACCCAGGTCTCCTGCATTGCAGGTGGATTCTTTACCAGCTGAACCACCAGGGAAGCCCACGAATACTGGGGTGGGTAGCCTATATCCCTTCTCCAGGAGATCTTCCCGACCCAGGAATCGAACCGTGGTCTGCTGCACTGCAGGCAGATTCTTTACCAGCTGAGCCACCAGGGGAAGCCAGAAAGCTGTGTAGCCAGAGTGGCCCAAAACAATCACCAACACCCCCGTGCTGCCCAGCTGTAGTGTTCTAGTTCCAGCATGTAAAAGCATCAGGTCCCCAATTTCGCTCTCTGACCCCCTCAAATTATCCCAACTCCTAGTCACAATCTGCTTTCTAAGCTTGCCCGCCCCAGAGCTCAGCACAGTGCTAGAAACACCTGGATGTCCGCGTGCATCACTCCACATTAGCATGAGACCCGAAAATCCGGTAGCCTGCCACCTAGTGTTAAAAATGGGCCATGACACTTTGCTTCATTCAGAGCATCAGCTATGGCCAGAGATAAGATTTAAGGAATCAAAACCACTTCATAAATCAGAAATTAACACTCAGCAGTAACGAAAAGAAGGAATCTTGTAACAATTGACCATTACCAGGAACTCTATTCAATCCTCTGTGACAAGCACAGGAAAAGAATCTAAAAAAGAGTAGATATATATATGTATGTATAACTGATTCAATTTGCTGTCTTTTCCAAAGAGTCAGCCGTTTGCATCAGGTAGCCAAAGTATTGGAGCTTTAGCTAAGTTAACTATACTCCAACATAAAACTAAGCAAAAAAAAAAGAAAAAAAGGAAATTTTTAAAATTTGTGATGTTGGATTCATCCTTGGCCAAGAGATGAATCACTCGTGTACTTCCTAAGTGTACATGCTCACACATGTATGCACAGACAGACACACACAGACACATGTCCACATCGGGACTGCCAGAGTTGGCACAGGGCAGCCAACAGACTCCACGCTTTGCTGGCCTGCTCATCTCTGTCCGTAAACAAGGCTTGACGCCGAGGTCTTACCTTTTCACAACCAGCTTCAGGGTCTTATGCGACCCCTTCACCAGGCAGATGGCCTCCTGCCTAAACCCAGACAGGCCGATGTCGTTGATGCCCACGATCTCGTCTCCGGCCAGCAGTTTGTCCACGGCCGCGGCTTTGCTCCCTTCTTCGACCTGCAACGCAGAAAGAGGGTCCATGAGCTGCCCCTCCCAAAATGAGCAAACCAGTCCTCAGGAGGATAGGAAGACGTGTCGGTGACAGCTCTGTGCCATCCACCAGTTCTTGGACTGGTTTCAGGATGACCCAGGAATGAAGGGATCCAGCTTGGGCCCTGGTTCCCGGTGAGAGACCAGGGATGCACCCCTCGCCTGGTTTGTACCCCTAATCCGTTCTGCATCTGCAAGACCTACTGTTTACAGAGGGGGCACCAGAGTACACGAACACTCAAAAACACACCAGAAACAGGGGATCCAGATGGGCCCCATTGCTTTCTGGATCTCCTTCCTCCAAAAAAAAACAAAAAAGATGGGTGTTTTAAAATTATTGACGAGTTATGTCTCACCCGTCAACCCTGCACCTAGAGCTTCCCTGGGGGTCCTGCGGTTAAGAATCCACCTTCCAATGCAGGAGACACGGGTTAGATCCCTGGTCAGGGAAGAGTCCACGTGCCACAGTGCAAGGAAACTCGTGCACGACAACTGCTGGGCCTGCGCTCCAGAGCCCGGGGAGCCACAACTACTGAGCCCATGCTCCACAACAGGAGAAGCCATCGCAATGGAAAGCACCCGTGCTGGACACGGACAGGGGCCCTTGCTTGCCACAATTGGAGGAGAAAGCCCATGTGCACCAACAAAGACCCACCAGAGTCAAAAAAATAAATTTTTTTTTAAAAGTCCTGCACCTAGGACTTTTTCTGTAACAGCTTTCTTTCAATGTTTTCTTTAATTTTTTATTTCTGTAACAGCTTTATTTAGCTGTAAGTCAAATACACGCCAATCCGCCCATGTACACATGAATGAAAGGACTGTTAGTTGTACTCAGAGTCGTCCAACCATCACCACCCACCCAGTTGAGAACAGGCTTCCTAAGCACAGAAGAAAGCTCATGCCTGTCAGCAGTCACTCTCCGGTCTTCCCGGGCTCCAGAAACCATGTATGTGTCTTGGATGTACCTACTGCAGACACTTGATATATACAGAGTCATACAACAGGTGGCCTTTTGTGTCTGGCTTCTTTTCACTCGTGATGTTTTTTCCAGGTGCATCCGTGTTGCACCGTGTCGGAACTCCGTTCCATTTTATGGTTGACTGATACTCCATCGTATCCATTGACCACATTCAATTTATCTGTTCATCAGGGATGGATATATTTACTCTGTTTCTACTACTTGGTTATTCAGTCAGTTAGTTCAGTAGCGCAGTCGTGTCCGACTCTTTGCGACCCCAAGGACTGCAGCATGCCAGGCCACCCTGTCCATCACCCACTCCTGGAGTTTACTCAAACTCATGTCCTTTGAGTCGGTGATGCCATCCAACCATCTCATCCTCTGTCGTCCCCTTCTCCTCTCGCCTTCATTCTTTCCCAGCATCAGGGGCTTTCCCAATGAGTCAGCTCTTCACATCAGGTGACCAAAGTATTGGAGTTTCTGCTTTAGTATCAGTCCATCTAATGAATATTCAGGACTGTCTCCTTTAGGATGGACTGGCTGGATCTCCTTGCAGTCCAAGGGACTCTCAAGAGTCTTCTCCAACACCACAGTTCAAAAGCATCAATTCTTCGGCGCTCAGCTTTCTTTAGAGTCCAACTCTCACATCCATACATTTGGCTGTCAGCGCCCCACGAACACTTGTATACACGTTTGTGTGCGAATATGTGTCCTCATTTCCTTTGGGTGTACAGCTAGGAGTAGAATGTTGGGGTCATATGGTAACTAGCATAAACATTTTGAGGATCTACTAGACTGCTTTTCTTTGTTAAAAAAATATATTTACTTATCTATTTTGCTGTGCTGGGTCTTCGTTGCAACACGTGCCGTCTTCCGTGTTCATTGTGGCATGGGGTCTCAGCTGTGGCAAGACCACAGGCCTCAGCTGTTCCTGAGCATGGGATCGAACCCGTGTGTAAAACACTCCCTACTCAGAGTTACACACAGTATGTATACCAGGGGACTGACCGACTCCTTAAAAGGATTTTACGGCTTTTATGCTCAGAATTTTCAATCTGTAAATCCTTAACCCAGCTTTTCTTATATAGTAATAATCCAACTAAGCATCGAGTAAGCCATCAATCAACCAACGTTCTTTCTCTACCAGTGGCCTGCAAACTGTGTGCTCTGATCACTCTCTCAGGCGTCTCCGGCTCTTTGCTACCCCATGGACTGCAGCCCGCCAGGCTCCCCTGTCCCTGGGATTCTCCAGGCCGAATCCTGGAGTAGCCTGCCATGCCCCCCTGCAGGGGATCCTCCCAACCCAGGAACCGAACCGGGGTCTCCTGCACTGCATGCAGATTCTTTACCAGCTGAGCTACCAGGGAAGCCCTATGACTCATGAATCAAATCCAGCCAGCTAGGACTTCCCTGGTGGTGCAATGGTTAAGACTCTGTGCTCCCAATGCAGGAGGCCCGGGTCCCATCCCTGGCCAGGGAAGATCCCACATGCTAGGTGGCGTGCCCTCCCCTCCCCTGCTGCAAAAAATCCAGCCAGCTGTCTTTTTTTTTGTTTGGGGTAAATAAAATTTTACTGGAATACAACCACACCCATTTGTTTATACACTGCTACAGGAGAGAATGGAATAGTTTGGGGCCCACAGAGCCAAAAATATTTACTACTTGGCTTGTTACTAAAAAAAAAAAAAAAGCTGCCAACCCCTGTTCTATACCAAAAAGCCATTCTTTTTACAAACTGCTAGGGAAACTAGTGAAAAAGATGACTGTTTATGTGCAGATCAGGGTACAGTTTTGGAAGTTCGCTGTGCTCCCACTATATGCCAGGACTGACCTGAAAATCAGTTCCAAACCTCACCAGGCACTGAAGCAAGGAAACGTTCCTCCTCTGGGAGTTAGAGAGCTGGAAATAAAGCCTCAAGGATGAAATCACACGGTACCTGGACCTGTCTCTCCGCCTGGACCCGTGGACAGCTCAACCCCTCCTTAGGGTAAAGAGCCAATTATTTATTGCAAGTTGACACCACAAACAAAATGACCACTCCGAACAGAACTATGAAGCAATTCGTTCGGCTAATAACCGGTCTCCAAGTCCAGACAAATTTTAATCCCAACGTAATGACAGATCCCAACGTTAATAAGCTTCCACCCGGCCAAGATTACACACTCAGCCAGCAACAGCCAAGGTGAAGGTTACGTGGTGGAGAGTTTAGGTTTTGACATGGCCCAGCTGGGGGTGCCCAAGGGCTGTGTCCAATCGGAGGGTTGGTGGACAGTTAGCTGGGGTGGGCGGGAGGTGGGAGTCCCTGGGGAAAAAAGATGGAGTGAACAGCAGGGGAAGGAACTTAAAAGACTGGAGAGTAAATGAAAAAAAAAAAAAAGACTGGAGAGGCGGGGATGGAGTCTGCCCACACAGAAAACAGACCCATGAACAGCGGAGGACAGAACCCTTGGGCTGCCTGGCAGAAGAGGATGAAGGAGCAGGAGACAGAGGGGAAAGAAGGGGTGGGTGTCCCCAAAGAGACAACCAGCAGACACGCGCAGAGCTGGTGAATCTGAGCATCCCGAGAAAGCCTTTAGGCGAAACCATGATGATGGAGGAACCTGCAGGGTCTTAGGACAGATTCTGGAGGCAGCCCTTCCTACAGGCAACTCATCACCTGGAACGACTCGGCCACGACCTGGTGAGTTTTTCCGTCTCATCCCCGCAAACCCTTGCACGCGAGACTCTCTCAAAGCGCTGTCATCAACGTCTGGCTAAGGGACTCGCCTGGAGGTCCAGTGGCTGAGACTCTGAGCTCCCAAATGCAGGGTGCCCAGGGTTCGATCCCTTGTTAGGGAACTAGATCCCACGTGCCACAACTAAAGATTCTGAATGCTGCAATGAAGACGGAAGACCTTCAAGGAAGACCTAGTTCGGCCAAATAAATAAAAAATTTTTTGAACAAAGGTCTGGCTTCACCCCGAAGCCCAAATCACATCGTGTTGCTTCCCTTCATCTGCAAAGACTTCCTAGCTCCCGCTCCAGCCGCAAAGACGGCATTCCACAGCAGCCCGTCTGCCTCACCCAAACCACACTCCACCTACACTCCCAGCAAAAAAACGGCTCCAGGTTTGGGAGACAGAGTAGCTGGGAATCTCTGCCCACCTCGGCTTACTCCCCAAGACAAAGCATTTGTCCGACATTTTTCGCACTCATAGCGAAGAGAGTTGCAAACGAGGCAGCTTTGAAGACCTCGGGTCTGTACTCTTGACCCCATCAAGCTTCCCCCGTGAGGAAGACTTCATGAGGCTTGAACCTGGTGAAGTGCAGACCTGAAGCTGGCCCTAGGGTTCCAGGAATACGGCTCTGCCCATCAGCTGTGTATAGTCTATCATGCGTTACCCGTGATGAGTCATGCCTCGAATGCATCGTGCATTGCATACACGCATGCTCCTTTTATCGCCATCCTCTGTTTAACAGTCAAGAGAGCTCTGGGCATGGCCAGTCGCAGAAGGCACCATCTGCAGAAGCCACAAACGGGGCAGTCCTGATCTACAACCACTGGACAAAGTTCTCAGTGCCCTTTGCTCAGGAGAAAAAAAAAAAAAAACTCCCTTTACAAAAGGGCAGGCAGGCAAGGACAAAGGAATCCACACCCACCCACGATGCCTGTCCATGTACCCCGGTCAGAAGGAAAGCCCCAGGCACACTCGCCAGGCCGAATATTCTGGTTTGGATTATTCACTGGAATTCTGTTTGCCAAACTCCTGTTGAGTTTTTAGGGCTTCGAAATGTTCAAAAATGAGCAGTCTTGCTGTCCTGATGGAAACATTTACTCTGGAAACAGCAAGAGGGAGGGAAGGGGGGAAAAAAAAAAACAGTCCATGGAAGTCTTTTTGGAAGCAAGCTTTCGTATTTCAACCAACGGATGTTGTTACGGATGATCAAAGATGACACCCACCAAGGGCGGGGGGGCGGGGGGACCCTGATTCTTGTGGGAGCCGGGACTCAACTCAGGAAGGAACTGAG